AAATGCAGATCCACAGTGATAAGACACAAAATGTTACCATCATGGCAAAGATACTTCGATCGACGACACCAAAATTCAATTTTTGTTGTATGCACTATAAAGGAGTCTAATGACATTAATAAACTATTACTTGATGAATTATAGAGTTCCTTGTTGGTTCATGAACAGAAACTCAACTAGTAAAATAAGGATGAGCAAGCTTTGAAGGCTTCAACTAAAAATCATTCTTCTGTATTGAATAAAAAAAACCAGGGGATAAGGTAGAGGCAAATGAGGCAAAGGAAACTTGAATTGCAAAAACCATTAAGAGAACCAATCTTAAGATTCTAAAAAAGAAAGAAGGGGATGAGACCAATCTAACTTAACCCCGTATAAACCAATAGACAAGTTTAATGTGGAGTGCTATCAACGTCATAGGTATGGTCATTACAAGTCTGAATGTCGAACTAATTTATCCAAAAGCAATGAGAAAAATTCAAATTTTGTAAAAAAAGAGGAAAAATTATCCCTATTAATGGCTTGTTATGCCGGAGAAGAAATTGACAAAAATTTATAGTGTTTAGACACCAGATGCAACAATCATATGTGTGGAGATAGTTAGTTTTCTCCATTCTAGATGAAAAATTTGAAGATAATGTGAAGTTTGAAGATATTCTAAGGTCTCAATCATAAGAAATAGTTAGGTAACCATTCAAACCAGGGGCAATGCTACTTAAACAATTTTAAATGTCTTTTTTACTCTAAAATTGAAGATCAATTTATTGAGTATTGGTATGCGAAAGAAAATGTATGAGATAGTCATTAAAGATGGAGTTTGTAGAATTCAATATGCCTAACTAGGCTTAATTGCTTAAGTTACAATGACTCTAAACAACATGTTTCCTTTCCATCTCAAGATTATTAATCAACCATTCTTCTCAGCAAAATTAAATGATATAATAGTCATGCTTTGCTATGGTCATCTGAATTTTAGTGGTTTAAGGATGTTTTAACAGAAAAATATGATAATCAATTTATCAAGTTTTACAAGCCCTTCAAATGTTTTTAAAGAATACATTGCTAGTAAACAACATCGAGATCCATTTCCAAAAGAAAAATCATAAAATGTTAGGAAGTTGTTAGAGATTGTACACTCTGACATTTGCAGGCCAATCAATCATGCTTTCGATAGAGGTAAACGATATATTATTACTTTCATTAATGATTTTAGTTAGAAAACTTGGGTATACTTCTTACAAGAAAAGTTTAAGCTTCAACGACCTTCAAAATCTTTAAAGCATTTGTAAAAAAAGAAAGAAATTCCAATCAAAGTGTCATATACAGATCATGGAAAGGAGTACAACTTGCAAGAATTTGTAAATATTTATGAAAATCATGGCACCAAACGACAATTGACCATAGCCTAACACCACAACAAAATGATGTCCGAGAGAAAAAGAATTGTACAATCCTTAACATGGTTAGAAGTATGCTGGTAAAAAGCAAAGTTCAAAAGAGTTCTTGGCCCAAGGCAATCAAATGGAGCATTCATATTCTAAATAAAAGTCTAACTTTAGTGATTCAAATCATGACACCCAAAAAGGCATGGAATAGAAGGAAACCAAATGTAGAACACTTCAAAATTTTTAGGTATATTGCTTATGCTCATAGTCCAAGTAAGAAGAGAAAGAAATTAGATGACAAAGGAGAAAAGTATTTTTTTTCTTAGTGTTAATGATCATTCCAAAGCTTACAAGATGTACAATCCGATCACCAAAAAAATTATCATTAGTCATAATGTGATTTTTAATGAAAAAAAGTTTTAGATATGGGATGAAAACAATGCCAAACAACAATATCAATAGATTTTGATAGTGAATATGATAAAAGATAACAACCTATTAAGAATAAACAAATCGTGGAGAATAAGCAACAAACACCAGGCAGTCAAAGCATTCCGAGACCTGAAGTAGATGATGAATAGCAACCTCAACGTTTTATGAGAAGACTTGCATAGATGATGGATTATAAGGTAACTTGAATTGACCAATTTGAGGACCCACTAGCATATTTTGCTTTATTCAGATTATGATCTTAACTTTTGAAGATGTTGTTTTAGAATAAAAGTGGAAAAAGGCAATGGATGATGAAATTGCATCCATTGAAAGAAATAATACTTGAGAGTTAATTGGATTTCCTAAAAGAAAGAAGACCATTAGTGTGAAATGGGTCTACAAGACAAAATTGAAAGAGAATGGTGAAGTTGATAAATACAAAGCATGCTTAGTAGCTAAAGGATATAAGCAAAAGTTTGATTGCATTAAATTTTAGCATTTCTTACTCATTTTTAGTGCAATTTTTCTTAAACTTTGGCTTGATTCTTGAGAATTTTTGTAAAATACTCTTAAATGCACATATGTTCAAGGTATAGGTAAAAATATGAAAAATGAGAAAATTTGAAGATTTGGATTCATTTTGGAGGATTTTTGGTATTAAAAGCTAAAAAATACCATAACTAGTGTGATTGTGCTATCTTGTTAGTTATGGGAGTTTTCTTAACTCTTTCTTCTATAATTTCTTTAGCTTAATTGAACTTCATGGAACCTTATTTCAAGTCCTAATTCTCATATTTCTCATTTTAAAATAATATTATTAGCTCATTAATGCATTATTAGTATCTTTGTAAGTGCATTAGTGTAGTTGGAAGCTAATTTTGAATTTGCAATTTTTCAGAATTCTTTCAAGGTTTATAATGCATGATTTGTTCATTTAATAGCCTGTATTTTGGCGGTAAAATGAAAGAAGACTTTGATAAAATTGGCACTAAAATGAAGTAGCAAAGTTTAAATTGTGCCATTGGATGTATGGCCATGTAAGGAAGGATTTGTGGCAACACTTTTAGAGATTCGAAGAGAACCAATTAGAGCTATTGAGCTGGACATTTGAAGGCTTCCCAATGGTCATAATGTTGACTTGTTGAAACTTAATAGCTCATGAGAAGAAGGCTTAAAGTAAAGGGAAGTTTAAGGAACCAAACAAGCAAGCTAAGGATTCAAGAAAGGGGGGAAGAAGAATCTAGAAAGCTGGCAGTTACTTGGATTTTTTTTTTCTACACTTTTAGGGGCTGGAGCACCTCCATATATCTATAAATAAGGGAGGGTGGCTGGAGATAAAGGGAGGAGTAGCTTAGTTTTATATTTTTACTTTCCTTGCAATTTATTTTCTTTTCTCTCTAAACAATTTCCTCTTTATTCATTTAGAGGGCTGTTTGGGGAGAAAATTGCCTTTATTTTCTTGCACAATTTACTTTCCTTGCTTTAATTTTCAATGCATTTTAAGATTGCTTCACTAAATGTTTCAAATCTTTAAGTTTTCATGTTCAATTTCAATTGAATTCAAGTGTTCTTCAAATCTGTTTTTCGATTTTCAGTTTTGACCTCTTTGCAATGTTTTGATTGGTTCTTAATCAAATCTAGCTTGTTTTAGGCAAATTTTTTCTTAAATTCCTAACTCATATATCTTTATATTTGGAAAAATATATATCGTTCAAATTCCATCCAAAAAATTCCAGATCAAGATTCAAAGTTTCAGCTAAACTCAGTTGGTAAAGTTGAACTTTGAATAAGTGACAACATATCAAGGGACTTCTCTCCTTCTTGGAATTTGGTTTGCAACTCATTTACTTTGCACTCTTCAATCTATGTGTTATTTGTTAATTCACATTTGATTGTATTTAAATTCATGTTTTTATCTACTGTTTGGATGATTTTCTTTGCAAGTGCTTTGTTTTTCCAGTTTTTGCATTCAATTGGAATTGTAGTTCAATGAGCTAGAATTTCTTTGTTTGATGCTATTTCTTTATTGATTCATGTTATAACCTTGTAGATCTAGGATGTGTTAGCTCAGTTTAAGTTCATTCTATCTAGAGAGTTATAGATTGAATTTTTCTTTTAAGATTTGTTAGTTTCTAGATTCACTTGCAACTTTTGGTTTTCAAGTTTTTTATCAACTCTTGTAATTTTCTTTCATTACGTGCACTTCAATTCTGTTTTTACTTTAGATCATTAATTGTTTTTGTGATTTCAAGTTTGAGTTCATTCAATTTGATGCAACTTAGATCTAGATTTCTTGTTGAATAACCAGTTTCCAGATTCTGCATTTAAGTTCCAGTTTAAATGTTCTTCTTTGGATCTTGCATTTTTAGCATTGTAATTTAATTTTAATTATGTGTGGGATCTTTATTCACGTTCTGTATTGAGTAATCTCCAGTTTGTTTGGTTAATTTCTTAAGAATTTTCTAGAAGTTTTCTTGTTGGAAGTTTTTTATAGTTAGTTATATTTGATTGAAGTTAATTGTTGTGGTTCAATCCTTTAGCAACTTTTTTTGTTGATCATTGTACTTGTTATTTTCAAATTTTAGATTAGATATGCATTTTAATTCATGTTAATGTAATTGAGGCAACTTTAGATAGGATATGGGATACTAGGTACTTAATTTAAGAATCTCTTTAAGTATTTCTCGTGAGATCAACATCTAGGATTTTGTAGTCTTTATTATTACTTGAATGACTTATGTCTGGCATCAATTACAAAGAAGTCTTTGCTCCAGTTGCGAGGCATGACACAATCAAATCGGTAATTGCTTTAGCGGTACAAAATTCATGGCCTATCTTCCAACTTGACATAAAACCAGCCTTCTTACATTGAGATCTAGATGAGCAGGTATTTATTAGTCAACCTCCTGATTATGTTAAGTTGGCAATAATTATGAAGTGTACAAATTAAACAAGGAAGTGTATGGACTAAAACAAGCCTCAGGAGCTTGGTATAATTGTATTGAAGCTTATTTTCTGAAGGGAACTTTTAAAAAATGCTCTTATGAACATACACTTTTCACAAAAAAAAAAAAAAAAGTGAGAAGATGCTCATTGTTTGCTTATATGTAGATGACTTAATCTACACTGAGAATGATAAGGTCATGTTTGATAAATTTTAAAAAAACTATGATGCCTAAATTTGAAATGACTAATCTTGGAATGATGCATTATTATCTTGGTATAGAAGTTATTCAATTTACTGCTGGCATATTTATTTTTCAAAAGAAGTATGTGCAAGACATTTTGGACATGTTTCGAATGAAGGACTACAATCCTATTACCACACCAATTGAAGCAGGCATGAAGCTTGATAGAAATCCTAAAGGAAAGAAAGTCAACAACACTTTTTACAAGCAAAATGTGGGAAGTCTAATGTACCTAACTGCAACAAGGCCAGATATTAAGCAAGCTATAGGTCTTATCAGCAGATATATGGAGTGTCCAAAGGAAATACATCTCTTGGTAGCTCAGGTAGCTGCGAGATACAACTGAGTATGGATTGTTCTATAAGAATGGTGAAATCCCAATTTGTTCGGTTTTATAGATAGTGATTATGCTAGAGATCTTGATAATAGAAAGAGAAAATCTGGTTATGCTTTTATGATGGGGACAGCTGCAGATCCATGGACATTAAGAAAGCAATCAATTATAACTATGTCAACTACTGAAGCTGAATTTGTAGCCGCGGCAGCATGTGCTTGTCAAGCAATCTGGCTACAAAAAATTCTTAAAGAATTTTCAAACATGAAGGACCTACTATCATTTTCTGTGACAATAGCTCAACAATTAAGCTATCTAAGAATCCTATTCTGCATGAAAGAAGCAAGCATAAAGATGTGAAGTTTCATTTCTTGAGGGACCTCACAAAAGAAGAATCATAGATCTTATCTATCGCAGAAGTGAAGATTAAATCGCTCACATTTTTACCAAACTTCTCAAGTTGTCAACATTTCAAAAGCTTAGGAAGTTGCTTGGTGTCTACACTTTAAAAAGCCGTTCATAGCTGGTATTCTTTAAACTAAATGTTTGAAACATTAGTTTAAGGACGGGATTGTTAAAAAATTAGTAATAAGGATCTGCTGAGTTGTCCTAGTCCTTAGGCATCTGTTAATTTGTTGCTTTACGTGTCCTGTTTTTTAGCGTAGTGGCAGCCCAATTTGTCAACTAGTAGTTGCTATTTTATTATTTTGTGGCAGCTAGTGGTTCTATTTTTTAGCTTATTTCCGTTGATTTATTACCTATTTAAAAGACAATTGTTCAAGGAATAAATGAAGTAGAAAAAGAACTTTCCTCAAAAAGCTCCGATGAGTGTTCTTAGTTGTTCAATTTCTTTGTTTTTGTTTTTTTTTTGAGTTATCAGAGCTAATAATTTTTGAGGTAAACTTGTTTGAGATTATTGATAGATTTTTTTTTTATAAATGATAATTTTATTTATCCAAAAAATAAAGAAATTACTCATAAAATTGAACAAACATTCATCAACTATATATTAGATGAATATAAACCAGCGATTGATAAATTTGGATAGTTGGTTGATATTCTTTATTGCGATTTATAAATTATTATTGTTTGTATTATTATTTTAATTTTGTCACGATGAGCAAATCATTGATTATGCATCTTGGAGAGTTAGCTACCCAAACATTAAGTTTGAAATTTTTGAACAATCTATGGATATTATATATCAATCTATATCTGATAGTGAATTGTTAAAGCTGTAAAGAAATGCATTGAGTTGAGAAAGCTCCGAAATAAATAAAATAAAAACAAAAAAAAAAAAAGACAAGAAAGATGAGCGAAACAAGGTTTTAAACTTAACTTTAAATTTAGTTTTGATCCAACCTTGAAAAAACATTAATGTAAAGCTCTTTAATCATACTAATATTTATCCTATCAATAGTGTAAGTCCTAAACTATAAATTTTTTCTGTACATATTAAACCTCGCAAAAATTTGCATTTTTCTTTTCAAAATTTGCTTTTAATTCCCTTGTGTTTTCCGCCTTAAAGCACTTTGACCAGAACGATATTAATGCATGGTTGATATTAGCATTTTGTGTTCACGACTGGCTCTTTTATGAAAGTAAGAAAAATGCATGGAAAAATTACATACTCAGATAGTCTGTTATTTAGCTAATAGAAGAAATGGAGTGTGGTCGCAAAAAACTGCAGCCGCTGGCGCTTTAATACTCCCTCTGCCATTGACTAACACTTTATTTGGACAGTTGGTTAAACAACGTGATAAACTTATAAGTAAATTATTATTTATTACAATCATTGCTCATTTACATATAAGCAGTGAAAAGTCGGACAAAATAGTATTTTCCTTTGTGTAATTACTATATTATTTCTCTTCATCGCTATGTTATGTTATGAATTGATTTATGGCAACATTTGTTATATTTCTTATATAGTATTTGGTACTCATATATATTGTGAAATTTTTCGGAATATATTTGCCAAATTTTGAAGAAAATATAAATTCAGCAACGTACGGATATATCTGCATGCTATAAAATTAAGAAAACAACGCAAATATAGAATTAAACTCTGGTGTAACAGAGCATAAACTTTATCTCATAACATTGGACAGCCGATACATAGATATGCGATAATTGGAGCTAACAGGAAAAAACTATAAAAGACAAACAACTTAACAAGTCTCGCCAAACCAAGCCGAGACCGATTTGGATTTTGGAAGCATCCCAAAATCTTTATTCACGCTTTTATCTTCTGCAAGCTGCTGATAACCCCTACTTCATCCCTCTCACTTCACACTGTAATAAGTTTCAAGAACAATGAAAAAAGAAATAATACTTAGATTTGCTTCAAAAATGAAGTACTATATATATATATATATATATGGGGAATGGGGACTAGGGAATTAATTAGAAAGCAAAATCCAAAAGGAAAGACGGTGAAATGGGCATTACTTGTTGCAGTTAGTAGAGGTGCTGATCTTGTAAGGAATGTTGACACCGCATTTGCCTGGAAGGCCCTCAGCCAAGTTAGCTTTAAGACCAGTGATGGTCTTAGCGGCATCCTGCAAGCACTTGCAAACAGTTTGGCGATCAGAGGTGGTTCTAGCCTCGCTGTTCAGGGCCCTAACCCCAGTGCAGCAACTTGGTGGCAAGTTTCCTCCATTCTGCAGGTATTTTATGCATGGAGTCATTTGTTTATCCACATCTCCACATGATAAGGCAGTAATGGACATGGGTTCAACCACCAACATGCACAACACCAAAGCGCAGACAACCTTGAGAGCAGCCATGGTTTTGGTTCAGGAAAAAAAAAGAAAAACAAAGAAGGCAAACTTTTCTTTTGGAGCAGTATAAAAGAAGAAAATTTGACTTGTGTTTTGAAAGCTTAGTGAATTGGAATAGGGTGAGGATCGTGGTTTATATAGATGCATGAGGTCGCGGTTGAGCTTCGACGAGAGAAATTAATTGAAGGGATTGGTTGGTTGTTGGGCTTTAATTGAGTCAAGCCTCACTTATGGCTTCTTGCTCTTTTTCTGCATGTAGCTTTGCTAACAGTCGACATCTCATCTTCCGCGTCCAATAATAATGTTCGTAAAGACAAAGATGTACACGTTTCAGAGGGAGAAAAATAATGCTATTTTGTTTTATTTATTTATATATCTAATATATATATATATATATAATATAATAATATGCATAAATAAATTTGTCACATAAATATTTATGTGGATAATTTTTTTAAATAACATATAAGATAATTTTTTAAAAGAATAAGATAATTTCTATTGATTACAAATTAGATAATTTTAAATTTATTCAAATATCAAAATTATTTCAATTATAATTAAAAGTCAAAATAATTTAGAGATATATATTCTAAAATTAAAAATATGAAATATGGATTTTTTTTAATAAATAATTTTAGTTGTTTACTATATAACCTTATTTAAAAAATTATTTAATTATCAAAAATTTTAAAACATGTTTAAATTTTATAAAGATTAAGTTTATCCAAATCTTTCAACAATATTTTTTTATCTTGATTTAAAAAATTATCTTTTTAAAAAATTTACTTAAAAATTCAAGTAATTTTATGTAAGATTTTGAATTTTCAAAAAATTTTCATCTTAAATCTTTAAATAATAAAATTATCAAAATAATCATATCTATTTGAACTCTAATTATCAAATTTATATTTCAAATAAATGCAAAAAATTTAATATTATCTTTATCACTTATTATATCCATTTTAAATTTTAAAAATTATCTATTTAATACTAATTGCTACTAAAAAATTCTTCTACAAATTTAAGACTACAAATATAATGTGTTATATATCAATTTCTTTTTTATTTTTTCCAATAACTTTTTTAAGGTATATTCTATTACTATTACAATTTGTTTTTTTTTTTTATAAATTTTTTCTAAGATATATTTTATTGTTGTTACAGTTTTATTCTTATAAAAAAAATTTTAATTTATTTTTTTCCACATATTTTCTAACATTTTTCATATTTTGTATAATAATTTAGTTAAGATTACTAAAGTGCAAGTGTGCTAATATTTCTTTTATTTAAGACTACAAATATAATGTATTATACATCAATTTTTTTATTTTTTTCGTAACTGTTTAAGGTATATTCTATTACTATTATAATTTTTTTTTGTTTATAAATTTTTTCTAAGATATATTTTATTGTTATTATAGTTTCATTCTTATGAAAAATAATTTTTTTCAATTTATTTTTTCACATATTTTCTAACATTTTTCATATTTTGTATAAGAATTTAGTCAATATTACTAAAGTAAAAGTGTGTTAATATTTCTTTTATTATTTAATTTATCATTCAATAATATATATTTTTATTAAAAAATAATTTATTTTTATTTGATATAATTTTACAAGTATATAAATACTATTGTAAATAAAAATATCCAAAAAAAAGACATAATTTTTTTGTTGTTTTCAAAAAGTTTTTTTTTAATGATAAATCAATATATATAAATTTTATATATGTTATGAGTTTTAAAATTTTGAATATAATTTTTTAAAAAATTAATTTGTATATATTTATATATATTCATATTAAATAAATAAAATTATTTCATGTATTACACATATTATAATTTAGTGTAATATATATATGGAGAGAGATATTTATTTTTTACCTCATAAATATTATTTTATCATTTTTAGATTTAATTCGAAATTTTCAAAATAAAATTTTGAAATTTCAAGCATAGCTGGAATATCCCTTTTGGAACAGATAGTGTTGTTTTATCATCAATCAAATTGAACATTTTGATAAATTGCTTTTTTTTTAAACAAATTTTGCCAAAGGAGAAAGGAAAGGCCTGATGTATGGATATAATGAATGTATAACGGGAGCCAGGCTTTTGTCCGCATTCCGCATGGAGATGGAGTGTTACTTTTTCGATGCATTTTGGGGCAGAAATGAAGCAATACATACAGTGATATGGGGGGCAAACAAATGTTTCACAGGATAAAATGGGGCACCCCTCCACCTGCCAAGATGTGATTGTAGTTTTTTTTTTAATATATATAGTCTACTTTTAATGCGCTATCACACCTCATTAAATGAAACGCCATAAAAGTCAATGTAATCGCAATTTGAGTGATGGGTAAAGAACTCAATTTCCTATAGAGAGGAAGGGACGCCATACATTGACAAAAACACGTGTCGTAAACATGATGGGGTTTGTTGTCCAACTGTATATATACTAAATTTTTTAAAAAAATTTGCGCACATATAATATTGAAATGTAGAAAAGAATTAAATTTAAATAAACTTTGTGAACATTTCTACGTGTATATATATATATATTGACAAAGTTCGAATCGAATTCTGACTTTGCCCTAAAAAAAAAAAAAAAAAAATCGAATTCTGTCTTAATGAGTTGGGCTCAGGTTAATATTAAAAAAGTTGGGAAAATACTAAGCCTAAATAATATCTAAGAATATTCTTGACTGCATTACGAAAAAATGTGGAAACCCAAAAGTCACCGAAATGTTCTGGGCTATACTTGGATTGGGCTCGCCTCACTATTTGATTTAAGTGTAAAGTCCACATTTTCAGTCAAAAATCATTAAACCACGACCACTCAATTTATGTCCAAGTTAAATGTTTGGGTTAAGAGATGTTTTAAGCCTATATAATTGAAATATTAAGATGAAAAGACTATGTTTTATTATAAGAAAAATAAGGATCATGGTTGAAGGAAAGGTTTCACATTTTTTTAAGCTGGAAATGAGTAAACATGTTTATGTTTTTCTATTTATGCAAAAAAAAAAAAGTGTCATTTGTAGGCCCAAACTTGCGGCTGTTGCAGCACAATTTGTGGCTTTGATGAGAATTGAAGTGATGTGAAAGGGGGAATTTATTGGGGGGGTTGGGGGGAGGGGTGTTGGTGCAACCGGTTGTGTTGAGCTGAGCTGGTTGGGTTTAATAGAGTTTTATTGCCATCAACTGCAACTACAAGCAAAGCAATTCGGAGTGAGAACGTTAAGAAGAAAGTGGTGGAACAACTAATTATAAGTACTTCACTAACATTTTCATTGCAAAGGCTTGCTATAAGAACAATGATTGTTAGAAAATAATGTCTCCTAATTTTGAGAATTTCTACTACAAAAATATATTTATATATATTGCAACAATAATAATTTCTTTGTTCAGCAATAATATTGCAAATATTGTCATTTCTGTGTCTGTTCAGCATCTGCAGCTGCTTCCATGGCACTAATGAAGATGATGATGAGGGTTGGCAAACTGCCCATGCCACATTCTATGATGGAGTTGATGCTATTGGCATAATACGTGAGTTTCAGAATTCAGACTTGAGAATAACATAACAAGGGTATGGAACAAGCACAGCAGCTTTGAGCACTGCACTTTCCAACAATGGCTTGGGCTGCATACCTGCTATGAGCTGCTATGCAAAGAGAACCCTTAACGGTGCATTACTCTAACCATAACCATGACCGCCACCAACTTTGGTCCCCCTAATTATGCTTTGTCTAATGACAATGGTGGGTGTGCAATCCTCCTCGAGAACACTTCAACTTGGCAGAACCTGCTTTCTTGCAGATTGCAGAATATGGAGCTGGAATTGTTCCTGTTCTCAATCACACAAAACCATGCCAAGAGATTCAACAATTCAGCAAGGAGTACTTCACTCTCAAAACAATTTTCCCTTTCTCAACACCAAGCTTTCCACCAGTAACCAACCAATGACCGAGACGATCTTGTGGCCCTTTGCTTATCTCAGACATATCAACAAATTTTGCCAACTTGTTTACAATGTTTTCTAGTGAGCCAGAACTTGAGTCAACAGAGTTGGTATTACCCATAGTAGCAACAACTTTCTTTGATTTGTCATTTTGATTATGGTCCCACAAAGATATTTGTATTGTGCAGCCTGTAAGCCTGGAATACAAGAGCTTCATGTACAAGACGTTTCTTGACCAAAAATCCCAGACTCCAAGTTGTGCTCCAGCGACAATGTAGACACCAGAGAGGTCACCTATAAAGGTTTCAGGGTTTTCAATTGGTGCAGTACTAACATGAGAAAGTTCTTGCATTTCACAGGTTCAAACCATCTGTCATATTGCTCCTCAGGTCCCTGCCACTTGGGAGCACCAATTGCCACATGGGTATCCCAGTGTGGAAGTAGGATTTTTGGAAGAGAAGCCAAGTATTGAAGATGAATACTCAGACGGTTCTGCTTGATTCCTTCTAGTCGTAATCGCAAGCCTGTTACTGGCCTACATCCAACTGAAATCTGCATTTACATTGAGCCCAGATTAGATGCAAAATCTTGTTAGATCGGTTCATGTTACCACTCCCCAGTAACTTTCATGTGATGATTTATAATCAATGCCCTATATTCAAAGAATCCAGAACGGAAGCAAACTTGAGGAGAGTAAAGAGACTATAGTAGTCCAAAACCTCAAAATTGTCATAATCTAATCAAATTTAAGGAGTAAAGAGACTTATTTAGTAAGTGCAAAAACACGACCTATAAAAGGCAAACATTGCTGATAACTCAAAATTTAAAAAAAAAAAAATGGTTTTTAAGATTTCCCTTTACCATAAGAATTTCATAAGGTTTAAAAATAGCCAACAAAGGCCAATCAATTATTTAACAACTACCCAAAAGAGTGGGCCCTCTTGAGATGTGGATATGAGCTAATGGTTCACTTTTGCTTACTTCAACAATTGTAAGGATTGCATTTTAATCATATGCCACACCATATTATGGCTCTTAGAATGGTCACTGAGGTTATGCAATTGGAAACGAAATCCCAGCTAATGAACGAGCCAGAAAAATATCAAAGAAAAACCCCTCTATTACGGGCCATATCAAGATAGATAAAACTCAATAGTCAGGAGGAAAGAGAGCAGCTACTAAAGCTGGTAAAGCTTGTGACAGTGGGAGACATAAAAA